CCTGCTATTGCTGCAATTTCGACTCTCACTGTCTTCAATTTCAAAAGGCCATCGTGGAACATAGTCTCTTGTTTATTTCAGCTCAGCCAGGCCAGCCTCAGCCTTCCAACCCCACCGTTCTTACAACCACAGCAGCTCGCCCACCTCCGTCTTCTACTCGAACTCAGGCGCTGCACCCCATTTCAGAACATGCTATACAAAGCCCATCGCAGACGCTCGACATCGAATCGGACAATGAAAATGAAGTAAGTGTCATACGAAATAGCATTCTATAAATAAGTCGTCTCCTTTAGCTTTCTCCATCCTCGCCAATTCGGGAGTCTAGTAGTACTAGCGCTCCTCGAGTTGCGCCAGCTGCCACCAACTCGATAGAAAAGCCAGTTGGCATAGTTGCGCAAAATGCTCCCCTTCCACCTCTTCCTGTAGATGCTCACCCACCACCCGGATTAGAACCACGACCACCAGCCATTCAAGCTGCTAAAACTGTTATTCAGCATGAGCGAATAGCCGAAATGTAAGTATTTCCTCTGATGATTGTACGTTGCATAGTATTGAAGATACATGTTTTCAGTCCAACAGTGAACGTCATTAATAAAGAAAATAAGAAAGGAGTTTACAAAGCCGAGCCAGTGCAATCCAAAGAACAAGAAGGCAACAACGAAGTTCTACCTATTCTTGGAGCTAGCCCTCCAATGTCTGTTAACTACCAAACAGGAGAGGTAGGAACTTCGAATTTTTTCCTAAATTTAATCGCTCGATCTTGATGAATGCTAGTAAGTGGAATGAAAAGATAATCGCGATTTCTGATCGTTCGCTGAACTCAATTACACAGAAGCAATCATTAAAAGACTAACCACGTCATGAACACCTTTTCACTCTTCAAATCATCATATGGCCAAATCGTTTGTTTAATTCTATACGATTCGTGTTTGGTCATACTATTATCACTTTCGCGCTTACTATCACTTATAAACGCGCAGGCCACACAAAGTAGCTAACTGATAATAAACATGAACTAAAAATAAAGAAGAAGTAAACTACGTTTTTAAATTTAGGTCAAAAATAAACAAAGCGGAATTCGAACATTCCTTCAAAGTAGTGGAAGACTAGCTGTTGAAGATTCTGGTAAACTTCTTTTTCTGGATAATTTTGTTTCTTATCACAAATTGGATCCAGTTTCAGATTTGACCGAAGGTGAATCTACAAGGAGGCGCGATTCTCTCTCTTGTCCAAACGGTCTGCAAGAACTTCGCTATGCTGATGGCCGCTCTGTGATGTGCCTACCAGGAAAGAATCAGGTTGGTGTTGAGTGCGAGTAGCTGCTACACTTCAAGCA